GTAGGTCACAGCTGCATGGTATTTTCGGCGCCTGCAGCGCTAAATGCATATCGCATCATTTTATTTGCTAGAAGCACCTTACGGTCATAACTAACATTGTTTCAGTCTATATGCTGCATCATAACATCATGAGCTGTTCAATGTCCGAGTGTGTTAAATAACGAATCACTCTTTCACGATCAGATTTCATCAAACTGCAAGACATTCAATCATTAACTTCGTGAAACAGGCCATGCATGCGCACACCAATTACATATTACTGAAAATAACGGCCAAAAATATAACATGGTTTCGAAATAAGTGAAACCATAAACTGCTTGCACTATTCACTCCGAAGAGAATCAAATTCACAACAGCGAGACAAGGACAGTGCGTAAATTAAATGCATGTATGTTACTACACTACCACTGTAGCTCAAAGAGAAGTGGTCAGGAAGAAACATACAGCACCATCCGCACTAAAAGGAAAATTTTAACGAAAAACTACGCAAACATTCGATCATACCTTCCGTATGCGGAAACAAAAAGTAAAATATATTGTCATCTGTCTCAGATTTTAGAAAAATTCTGTTATTTTATAGAAGTTCTTACATTTAGCAGTGGAAGGCACTTTAAGCAAAAGCGTGACCCCATTTTTATGCATATTGCATATAACAGGGCTTCGTGTGTACAGAAAATATTTCTGTCGTACTTGAGAATTTTTAATACCGAAATTGAGATCCCAGAATCGTACACCATATTAGAAATAAGAAATCAATCGTCAGGTACTAATGAAAACCCTCTATTTTACGTACAACGATAGAATGCTTTCTTCTATCATTTGCTCTGTACCAAGCCAAAAAAAACTTTCTGGTATGATTCTTAAAAATCCATCCTAGGCGTCTCAGCTACATGAGCGCACTTTACTAATATGTGCGGGTCTTTTGGCGGATCCCATTTTAAGATCTAGGAAAACTATGAAATAGGAAACTGACGCTGCCATTCAACAATTTTCTATCAGTACCACTTGCATCGGCTCTGATTATCATATCGTTGTTGCAAATATCCAAAATTATCTGCGTTGCATCGGCTTCGTATGGATAAAAAAATAAGGTTCGCGATATTGACAGGCAAAATTATAGAATAGCGGTGCGCTGGCTGACAAAAATTTGGTTCAGAATTACTTTCACGCCCTCTTTAATGTCCAGTAAGAAAGTCACAATGTCAATGAGGCTTATGTCAACCCAGAGGAAGCGCCATCTCTTCGACAAAAGACGCAGTTGTGGTCAGTAGCAGAATATCCTTACTGCCTTGAGTTACGAAGAAGGTTCTGCTCTTGAAGTGCAAGAAACATATATAAATACGCACTTCTAATATTCTGTTGCAACCCCAAAGGTATACAGACTTTCAATCAAATGGGAAGATCGCCTTGGACTTGACATAGCAAAGATAGGATTGAAGAAAGCACGTAATTATTCGCTTCAGGTTGAATGCTTATGCGGAGTATCGCTTTCGAGGTATTGGGACAAGAAGTCTTGCACCCTGCGTAAAACTCCCCTTCAGCCCGTCAAAGACGCTGCAGGAAGAAGGTTGGAGCAATTAGAGAAGCCTAAAGTTAAATCTTGATGGCTATAATTGAGATTAGCATTATTTAGAGACAGTAAATTTGGCAAACAATAACTTTCAATTCGTCGCATATATTGGTTGAATTTCGGCAGAACTGTGTCACGCGAATAAATTTTGAGTCTTCCATGAATTTTAACGTTGAACACAGTCACACCAGTCAGTTGAGTGACCTGTAAAATAAATTTAATACAGACATGAGAGATGACAATGATAGATCGTCGTTCAGAGGCTGATATTATATCGTATATCAAACAGTTAAGCACTATGTACATACTCCAAATTGTAGCAGCTGCAGTAATTGCATTTAACGGCTAATCAAATATTTTTAGATTATGTACCTCCTGTAGTTAGGTGTAAAAGTCGTCATTAAAGAGGTCATTCTGTATGCCATTGACGTTGTTTGGAACCACTTGGACATCGAGCAGTTCACCAGTTTAGAAGTGGTCGTATGCCTGTGATTTATTTTTCCATAACAATGAGAAAGAACTTAGTGGGCAAATCTTTCATCTACATGTAAATAAGACTAATCGAGTCGATCGATCGCTAAACTCACTGCCAAAGAAACGCAAGCTAGCTCGACGAATCTCGTCCCCCCTTCCCCCTTATCAATTAGAATTAAATAAATGAAAAGAGTATACGGTAAACAGAAGACTAAAACTGATTGATATTGACTTCTGACTGGTTGTACAGAAGCGCAAAGCAATTCCACATCACATGGTTCACTAAAGAAAGGTGCTGAAAATGATGTCATGCAAGTGGAAAGTTTCGACTATCTCAATGATTGCATGAGCCCCATTTCCTTTTCTTAAACAGTTATATAACCCGGAAGATGTTCCATCCTGTCAGCAAGGAAGAGCTTTCAGAAACGCTTACCCCAGGTAAGTAATTTTGCAGGATATCCCAATAATAAATCTTTATTAGTACTTCGAGGATCGACAACAAAAACAAAAAATATACATAACAAAAGACAAATCAAGAACGAAGAACAGTGAAAGAAATCCTCTTAGATTTTCTGAACCTCAAACAGTTTAACAGCTGTGTCATACCAGATAGGAGGATCATTATTCCTAAAAACCAAGAATCAAATCAACATATCAATTCAAAAAGAACTATTACTTTAAATATATGATTCCCCATAGATACGTCCGAAACCAGTCGTTGGTGCCAGCATTTCCTTGGTATTTTCTTATGAGAATAGGGTGGGGAACTGGCAGCAAACCGACCAGGGTGCCGTGTTGCAAAAACTTTAGAATTTCGTTTTCGTCGGTCAGCATTCTAAAGAATTTTGCATATTCTAATTGTTAAACAGTGCGAATGTAAACAAGGCAGTACTTGTCAATGCAAATTTTTTCCACCTGTGGCACTAATACTTGAAGCAACCTCATAACCGTCTGCAGAGGCAATTTCTGTTTCCAGCTTTGAACCTAAAAAATAAACATTACTGGCATAAAAAAACGAAGGTTCACAAATAATGTATTTTACCCATTCAGGAGTAGGTATCCATGAATCTTCTGGAGGCGATTTTCCAGTTGCGTCATTTTTGTTAATCACAGTGACTATTTCATTGAGATTTGCATCTTGGGGCGTTGCTTCACTGATCTGCGTAGAATCCACTGGCGAGAGTATGTCCGGGCGCGACTTTTCTGTAATACGATCCATGCCTAAAAATGTTTCTTGGTGTAAAAATTGATTCATTCGCCATGGTGCACTTATTTATACATCAGTGCATTCAAGACGTTTGCGTATTTACAGCTGGCACCGCTAGTTAAGATGATTCCTGCATTAGAAATAATAACCAGTTATGGCACAGCCTCAGTCATGTCGTTCAGAAGTAACAGATTAGGCGAGACTAACGAGTTAGCCTAATGTAGCATATCGTTGGTAAACTTTTAAGAAAAGCTAGAAAAACACTTTGTTGAAAGAACTGTTCACTGGTCGAAAACATGTACACAGCCGAAAGCAAATGCGGAAACTAATTTAATAAAGAAAGTTCGAACAACAACATGAGGAATACGACTTTGGCTGAAGTAGCCAAGTAGCTGAAAGAACTTAAGAGGAATCTGAGGCACCATTTTAAACCGTTCAGAAAGAAAATCTATTCTGACTTCGAATACAGTTTAGCCTCAAATGATGATGACAACAATGACAGAGTAACATGCATCCATTCTATTGAAAAATTCACAACAAGATATAGAAGAGCAAACGTCGGTTATCATATAATTGACAGAAAGTATACCACTATACCAGGGGAAGCCACATCATTAAATCAGACCAAAAGCTTAACAAAAATTCGCTCTTCACCAAAAAACTTCTTATATCATAGGACTGGAAGTGACTAGCACGTTATACGGAAATGTCCAAATTTCTGCACCATAATGTGCTTTCAGGGTGGTAACCTGAATCTCAGAATATCGAACCATTTAACTTAGTCAACTGATAGTTCACATGACCGCGTCGATTTGCTGACTGTGCCTTCTCTTCTAGCAAAGATGTTAATGGCCAAACGACCTCGATCATTGCAAATCCAAACTAGATCAATGCCAGAAGAATGAGAAGATCCACAGGGTAGGAGAAGTGTTAGGTGTCGCGCTGTTTCAAACTGTTCAAACTTTGTGTCGGAACCCAAACAAGCTGCCACTGTGAATGAGTCGATTTGGTGTCGACAGAATTAAAGGGCACGTCAGACAGACAGATGGTTTTCTGATTAGCATAAACCGTTCTGGAGATGCAAAAAGTTTGCTCACATCTGCGACAGTCAAAGTCAGCCAACGTTGGTAACAACATGGGAGCTGACCCCAGGGTTTCTCACGCGAATCGCATTGCTTCATTCAGTTGGGTGACTAGTTTCTTCGTTTGACTCCAAATTGAAAACCAGTACCCTACAGTACAGTACTAAAATCTAGCGTCATAGTGAGCCAGACTCGAACCCTGACACCCCAAAAAGTGTCAGAAAGTTGCTGCAACAGGTTTACTCTGGTCTTGGTGATGTTGCATTGCATCTGTTGCATATATTGACAACAAGTCCCTGCTTGCTTACCTGTCAATCGACGTAAACCCGGTACAGATGTCACATCTACGGCCACAATAAAGAGCATAATTTCTTTGCTCATGAGGACTCTAGGGGCTTCGCAGAAGAGATCTGTGTCGCGCTGGATAGCATAAAAGGCCGAAAATAAATCAGTGTTCGATCAAAATCACGTCTGTCTTTCGCTTACGTTAAAATTCACCTTCTGTAGATCCGGTAGATGAAAACCGTTGCTGTCAAAAACGGCAACCAGCACAAAAGGGAAAGAGAATAATTGGAAATATCTAAGTCAAGAAAATTTCCTCCATCAGTTTCCTAGGTGAGACAGTAGCGAGCTAGAATGTTTCAAACTTTTGTTGATGGTTTTGTAAATCTATAGGGAAAACCCTCAGCAAGCAATTAGGAAGACAAAACCTTTTGTGTTGCGCAGCTCATTGCAGAGTTATGCCAACATCGGTAAACCATGGTGTCTGATTCTTGAGAAATACAGCAAAACTTCATACTGCTAAGATGCTTTCCTGCTCTCTGTGAAGAACCAATAATATACGGATTACCGTACCACGGCCTATGGCCTTTGTGAAACCGTTTTGAAAAACTATGACGTCTTTTTCTAAGCTCGTGGTGGTAATCATAAATTCAAGTAAGTACGTAATCTAAATGCAAGGAGACGTTACCATAGCGTCATGTAATATAGCTGGAAAAAATTACGGTTATTAATATATGACCGGCATTTTAACACAATGCTTAATGTTAGAAACAAAAAACAGATACATAATACCCGCGCTGAAACATCACAGGTATGAGCTAAATAGTGAAACGATGCGAGGTATATTCAGGCACTGTTTGAGCTAAATACGACTGATCGCAGCTTGCTCAGATGACCCCTTGGGAATCTATGAACAAGACAGCGATGCCAAACGATGCATAATCATAGTTGAAATGTGCTCATTAGAATCGATCATGGAA